TGTCCGGGGACGGGAGGGGGCGCGAGGTCTTCAAGGCGAGGCTCCGGTCAGGCGTGTCCCGGCCGGTGCCCGCTGATCTCACCTGTAAAAGCCCCCGGGACATGGACTCACCTCCCGCGGCGGCTGCCCCACGGGCTGGGAAGCGGTGACCGCGGTATGTGCGGGAGGCGGAGGGGATGTGGGTTACGGTGTGCCCTGGGACGTGAGCGTGTCGGTCGGAACAGACCGGTGTGTAGGTTTTGTACCGCTAAGTGCTTTGGCTGGTTGAAGTTCCTATTAGTTGTTCAGCTAAGTTAAATCGGATGGTAGAACGGTACGGTTTACATTTAGGTAAGAGGAATATAATGTGTATAAATACCAATGGTAAGCAGTACGGCAAACCAGCACGGTGACTGACTTACAAAAGGTGTGACTTGAACTGGTTTATCTTATGCAGCAACTTAGCACGATTTTTTTACCAGACAGAAGTCTTACATGACTCAGATACATTAGCAGTGCCAATAGTGACCACAAAATTACAAGAGTGATAGCCTATCCTACTTTTAATGTGTGATTTCTGCACATCATCACATGCAGGAGTTTCCTACGGTGATGGGAGCCTATTGTCTGCCAGAGAACATAAGAGTAGCCAGAAGGAATGTCTGATATCATACCACTGCTATGCAGTCACACTGCCCTTGATAAAATAAGACACGTCATAGGAAACAGCAGTATATGAAAATGTGAAGTAACTGTAAATCAGTTTATTCAAAGCAGTTGATGTGATAAACATTTTAAGAGATTAAATGTGAATATTTATGAGAGAATAAAAACACATAGAGATACATGACTGAACTTCGTATATTTAATTTAAAGTTCTTGATGTATTTGTTTTCTTTGGAGAAGGCCTAAGAATTGTTTCATTATGCATTTCAGTGCATATCTTAAATCTTAACTGGGAGGTTAGTACGTCACAGGAACTGTTTTCACTTTGCAAGCGTAGTGGCTGTTAATTCCATCCGTCATTTATACAAAATATAGTTGTTAGAAAAAGTTTCGTGGTTGTCACTTGTGCTGTAATCACCACACATTATGCACTGTTCACTGAAATAAACTGCGTGCGATGACAACACATATCTAGAAAATATACATTTGAGAGAAGGATCTAAGTCAATTAATCTATCATTCAGCATTTATTCTACCTGAAAGTGACTTTTATTTTATCTAGACTTCTTTAAAATGCCTTACAGATTAAAGTAGGTAGATGTGCATTTTTGACACAAACCAAAATGTAAGCTACATTGAAGTGTTGAATGTCCTCAGCTAGCTGTACTTTATATGGTTTCTTTCTCCAACAGATTGGGAAACAGAATGCCATTTGATGGAGCCAGTGAACCTGACCATGCCCGTGGGTCATTAAAATCAGAATCAGACATTTTGCAGAACACACTACCTGAAAATGAGAAATTCTATTTTGATCTGTCCAGAATTATTGATACGTGAGTTTCTTCATTATCATAAATACAAATGATGATGGACTACTTGATTTATACCATTCACATTTTCAAATTGAGAAACAGGAAAGGAAGATTCGATTACAGAAGAAAAACACACAGCCGCTGGTTGAGTACTGGTAGCAGTAGGGATGTTGGCAGAAATGTTGACTGCATTGCCATTCTGGCATGATGAATGCGTTCACTTTCCAGGAAGGGCTAAAAATTATATTGTGAAAATCTGGAAGCTGTTTTATGAAATTAGTTTAATTTAATATGTACAATAGATAAATTAAGGAAAGCAGTATGATTACAAAATGAACGTTATCAAAATGATATGAACCCAGGCTGTATTGTAGAGTTTATTTATTGTCCATTTCAGAAATGCAAGGCATGCTGATGGAATTTTCACCAGTGTCTACAGCCATCTTTTGGCTAAACTTGCTGTGAAGAGATATCTGCATTCGCTTATTAGAAAACGAGTTAGGTGAGGTGACACTTACATTAGGTAGATTTTTTTCCTAGCTGTCTTCACTGGCATCTTTTCTCTTTTCTGTACCTAAGTTCTCCTTTTTGTGATTTAGAGATAATGAAAAAGAAGATGCTATAATTATGGAGGAGCTGAAAATCCTATATAAGTATTTAGTGATATTACTAAATGATTATGTTACTATTTATTCCTGATACAGTTGTGAGAGGTAGAGCAATAGACACTGTACAAAGCATGGAAAATATATTATAATGATTAGCATGGAAAATATAATGATTAGCATGGTAATTTGCTAATTCTTTTTCTCTGGTTGTGTGTTTACTAGCTTGGTGAATGAATGGCAAAAGTAAATACAAAGTGAATGATTATTCAGTACTTACATAACAACAAGGAAATGCTCAATGAAATTAAAAAAAAATTGGTTTATAGTGAAATTTTAAAGGAATTGTTTTTTTCAACTGTAGAACATATTACCAGATGTTTGTGAGATCCATATTGTAGCAGGATTCAAAAAAGAAAGAGCAAAATTCATAGACAAGGGGTCTGGATGCAATTTCCAGACTGGGACATTCATAAACTAATGGTTGTGGGGTGCTGGGAAGGATCACTGTATACTTTTCTTGTTTTCATATCCCTAAGCAGCAGCTACAGGTTACTTTTGAGAATGTATTAGTAGAACGCTTTGGATTGATCCACTATGACAGTTCCATTGAGAGGCTACTCCATATACTCAAAAGCTGAGTAAAAATTAGGTCCTCCATTTGTGTTAATGCTGCCTTTGTTCCAGAACATATAATTCCAATTTCTCATATGTTATAAACTAATATAGATAATTTAAAACAGAACACACTGAGACTTCCCAAGGTTGTGAATGAAAAATAGGCCTCCAGGTTTGGATTTCACAAGGTGTGTTTTTTTCTTCTGAAACCTCCTTAGAACAAGTAGTTATAGCTACTTATGGGATGCTACATTTTTACTTTCCTCCATGGAAGGCTCCGTCTTCACAGCATTCAATATGAACAGTGATGGGGTCCTTTAAGACTTACTGTGACTTAAACCAAGCTGCACCTTGGCATTGTACTAAAATTTTACACAGTTTGTACTAATATTTATAAAAATTATAGACATCAGAATAAAATCTTTTTATTTAAATAGTAATCTGGGCTATGAGAACAGATAGGAGGGAGTAATGAATTCCACACTCAACCACTTGATCTTGCAGAATTCCTGGGACAAGTGATCTAGAAATCATTGAGTATGGATCCTAATTGCATGGACCATGGCAAAGTTGAGTAGGAGAAAAAAAATCAGTGGAAGGTGTGCCCAAAAAGACTGAATACTAATCTTTGGAATTTGATCCTTGTTATTAAAATACACAGTAAGCAATAAAAGCCGTGGCTTCTTTTCAACAGAAGAAAGATCCAAAGTCATAGTTGGAAATGAAAGCTGAAATGAAAATTTAATTTTATTAGCTAATCAGTATTGTAAAGTTTGTTTCACTCATTTAAAGGTATCTACTTTTAACCAGATATTATCTATTAATTTTTTCTTCATAATTGTGTATTACCAGCTCTCAGGACAGTCCTGTCAAACGCCATTCTGATGCTGTCTTCACTGACAACTACAGCCGCTTTCGAAAGCAGATGGCTGTGAAGAAATACTTAAACTCAGTTTTAACTGGAAAAAGAAGGTACTATAAGAAAGCAAATATATATTGTTTCCATACTTTTGTGGTATTAAGACAGAAAAGGTTTATATCCATTTATGTATACAGAGAGGGCAAACAAGAGGCAATGAACATTAATGACTTGATAGCATAGTTTATAGCATGGTTTTCAAATACAGACAACATTTTCTTCCTGACTGGAACAGACACTACAATCAAATTAGAATAAAAGAATAAAGAGGAGACTGCTTCTGGTAATTTTAAAAAGCTTCTGACAGATTCAGAAATGTTTTTGTTTATGAAAAATCTTCCTAAGGAAAGAATCCACAGAGCTATGGAACATGAGAAACAATTTTATAAAGAAATTTATTGAAAATTTTCCTCTAAATAAACACATGAAATGAAAATTTAGAAGTCCATAGAAGGCCATATGTCCTAATCAGTATAGGTGAGAAGTGCGAGCATACATTTTTGTAGACCCTGTATTCTGTCTATATATTCACTCATTTAGACATCTGCTTTTAAATGGCTCTTCATTCATTAAACATGCTATTTCACATTTTATAACACTTTGGTATAAATATAAAAAAATGTGCAGAAGCTACAGTTAGAAGGCGGCTTTGCTTTCTTGTTTGCTTTTTCTTCTGAGAGCAATAAAACTTATTTCTGATCCACAACAGCCAGGAAGAGCTAAACCCTGCTAAACTTCGAGATGAAGCAGAACTTCTTGAACCTTCCTTCTCAGAAAACTATGATTCTGTAGATGAGCTGTTGAGCCACCTCCCTCTGGTATGCCCAGATTTTCTTTCCTCTTGTTGTCTGTTACTTGACTCGACCCATAAAATGAGATTAATTGTATATGAAGTGTGATCTATTAAAAATCAGAATCATCTAGGAAAGGGAGTCATGTTCCATGAAATGCTTATGTTATAGAGATTGTGTCTGAATAAAATAATAATTTTAATAATAAGATTTAAGGTATCCCATGAATGCTTTTATTGAAAATTCATAATTAAATGCCACTGTTAATAATGCACCTAACTCACTGGGGTGTTTCAACCAGTGTGCACTGTAGAATAAAACCAGAACTGACTCATTTTTAATTACAAAGACTATTATTTCTTCAGAAAACAAACTCAAGGATATTTCTTTTAATTAAAAAAAAAATGCTGCAGATTTTGTTTAACATCTATTTCATCAGAAAGGAGTTGCCCCCAGAACTAAGAGGATCAGCAACATGAACTTTATGCATAAAGAAAGCACTTGACCCCTACCTAGGGGAGGATCATCTGACATGCAAATATTACAGTTGCTGTTTTCTATTTAGCTACCACTATTTTTTTTTCTAAAATCATTCACAAATGCGTTTCCTTGGTTTACTGAAATGGAAACCTTTCTCATCAACACTTGCAGGAATATAACATTGAAAAGGTAACATAGAAACATAAAAGTTAATTGAGTTTGGTATTCTTAAAAGTGCATTATCAAACTGATGGTAGTATGGTTTTTGGCATTCAGCTATGTCTCAAATACAAGCAAGAAAAAAGATTAAAAGACTACTCTTGAGGATAACTTTTTTTTTTGGGGGGAGGAGCTGGGGATGATACAAGAAAAGACATTTCTCCAAACTTTGTTTCCTTACTAGACTTAAAAAAAAAGAGAAAATATTCTTTTCCTTTCCAGTTCTTCTTAAGTTCCCAAATATTAGAAAGGACATAAACTGCTTATGCTTTGAGGATTGAAATAATTTGTAAGTGATGTGGTTCTGGAAAGAAATGTTCTTTCTAGATAGGATTATCATGAAACATATCTGCTCCTGGATTTTGAACCTTCTAAAACTTCTGGCATTGACTAAAAGAGAAATAGTAGTGCAGCACTTTTAAAGCATATTTCTCCTTTGCTTTTCAGGACCTCTGAAGGACACCTGGTAAAGTCTATGACAAGAACAAGCTATTTTTGAGTTCCACATGGTATTTCAAAGAGATGACTTTAGTCATCAAACCAGAACAAATATGTTGTGAAGTGACAGTTGTGATATATTTGTTTCTTATGTAATAAAAGTTGATATTTACATTGTAAATATTACTCTAGAGTTCTCTACTGAAAGCTGTACATATGGATGCCAGTTTAACTTATGAGAAGTCTGTGAGTCCATATGCTGTAAATCCTTTCCTTCAATAAATTCATTTGAAAATGAGTGTGCAGCTGAAAAGAGCCCATCTTGACTAATTAATTGGCTTATTTTAGATGTGGTACAACTTCAGACAAACATGTAGGATAATAGGAATACATCTCCAGATAGCTCCATAATCAGCATGTAAAAACATGAGGAAAAGAATGTGCAAACTGTGTAAAACTGCTTTACAAAGATCTCTGAAGGTTATTGCCAAGAAAAAGGCAAAGCTTTTCTAGCAGCTTACCAAGCAATTAGAGAAAATAAAAAAGCATTACAAATTTGACGTCCAGAAGCATCTTTCCTTTCTGTTCACATTTTTAATATTTCACAACATACAAATCATATTAAGACCAAAAATGTATCCTTTATTTTCAATTGTGTTTTGTATGTGGTGGAGCTGACAAAGCACTAAAAGAATGCAATCCCTTGATTCGTTTGATGCCTAAAGTCATCAGTTATTCTACACTTAATTGTAGCTTTGATGATGAAATTATTGCTTATATATAAAATAGATCTGAAGACAGTTTACTATTTTTTTAGGATGAATGTAATTTACAGACATGCAGACAATAAATAATTTTATTATCATGGCAAACAATTGCTGGTTTGAATCAGTGCTACAGGTAACTGGAACAGTAGAGGTCCCAGCAAGTCCTGTCTCTACTATAATAGTAGAGGAAGATAATATTTTTAACTGATCTATGCTATGTTATATTAGAAAGATGAGCCAATGAGCCTCCAGTTCCCATTTCTGTAGTTTCCTATCACTGTAGATGACTGTGGAACTAGAAATTACCAGCTGTTTGATTCACAACACTGTTGCTGTGAATCAAAATCTGGATGTATTTTATTAAGTTTGTGGATTTAATCAATTAGATCATTTTCTAAAGAATCATTTATTGTTGTAAGACTAATAGTTCCACTGCAATGAGGACAGTGCATGGTACTGCATGCACAACATATGAAATCCATATTCTTGAGTGATACCAGCCATAATAATCTTGTGACTCCCCTTTTACCGCCTAGAAAAAGAAGTAGGAAAACTTATCAGACCTACTTACAAGCTCAATTTGGAATTTCATAGTTATAAATCATACATATGCACACATAGACAGTGATAAAACTGATTTGCAAGTTTCACTGACAAGTTTACTTTTCCCATTTAGAATGAAACTTCTAACATGATAAAATTTGAGATTTATGGAGACTAGTTCTCATAAATATGTAGCCTTCTGATTTGCAACTTTTTGGAATATTGGCAACTGCATGTAGAAAGAAAATCAACTTGCATGGATCAGATGCTAATATTGCTATTTCTATCTAGCCTTGACAGAATCTATTTTAGTCTAAGCAAATGAGTGGTCCACAGAAGTTAGATGCAATTTTGAAGTCTTCTCTTGAAAAGTGGCTTTCCACCCCCAATTCCTATCGTATTATGAACATTTCAGTGTAAAAACATCTTTGTAAATACTTGAAGGATACTAACGGACTAATGCTATAGTATTTAATTAGAATTTTTCTTCGTTGTAGTTTGAACTATATTGGTATTTCTGGGATAAGTAATCTTTGAAAAAAATAAGTGAAAAAACCCAACTAGAAGCAAAGCTGCATATGGTCTTTATACACAGAATTTTTTGTTTGAATATATGTGATCTTCATTCACTCAGTTTAAAGTAACAAAAATTCGAATGATCAAACTTTTGATTCTGCAATTCCAGAAATATTTTTTCTAAATGTTCCTTTTTTAATTTTTTTTTTCTGCTTACCAATAAGACATCTGATGGAAGAACTTGTCTTCCATGTCTAATATATTATCTTCCTGATATTTTGTTCTCCATAGAAAACCACAGAACTTTGGAACATGCATTTTCTGTGTTCCAATGAAGATGGAGTCGTTAGAAAGAAAAAAATGGACACTTATTAGAAATCATATATATATATCTGTGTGTATATATATTTTTTTTTTAAAATAAAATTAATAATTTCATTTTAATAATACCATGGTAGGTTCCTCTGAGAGTTAGCAAATTGAGACAGTCTAAAAGGCATGCTAAATTTTATGTACATTTTAGCGAAACCTAGCACTGACAGGAGAGATTTTAACCTCCAGAATACAATACCTGACTTGATATTTGTGTTAAAGGATGGCTTTTAACTTGTCATAGCAACTTTTGGCATTCTATAGGAGATTTAAAGCCCAATTAATACACTGAGAGGAATTAATTGTGGAAGACGTAACACTGTTCACCTCAACTCCATAGGCAAGCGGTCATGATAAGGTTAAATGATAAAAACGAAGAGAAATTGCAGCATTTCGCTAAATGAGACAAATTTTCAGCCTGTCAATGAACCTTGACACATGTCACCAACCTTACAGCCCACCTGCAAAATGTCATAAGTGTGGAATCAAAGCATTGCATTAATTAGGAGAATGGAAGGGGCAGCCGCAAAGGGAGTGTCGGGAGTACTGCTGAGAGGAAACAAATACCCAGGAGATTTTGAAGAGCGTCACTGACAGAGAATGCAATCACTAGAGAGGAAGGAATAAAACAGTGAAGCGTTATTGGGGTATATGATAAAGAAACATCTCACCATGTTTTACCAGAATTTCACTTCTAATACAGGGTAGGAATACATGTGATCTTACAGGATAGAACTAATTAGTTTTTGTTTTATTGAATGGGGTTTGCTTTTTAAAGCTACTGCTTGGAACTCTTTAAGAAAGGGAGAGAATCACCTTGGTACATCTTCACCAGGACTAGAAGAGCACATTTTCTGGTCATAAAACCATGGAGAGGATTTGCATGCTTGGGTGCATCTGTACATTCATCACCCACTCAAGAACAACCCTCAGGATTGTGAATAAAATCATGAGTTGCAAATACTGACAAAACAATTTAAAATTACAACCAGTAAAAGCACATTAAAAATGAACAAAACTCTAACAGCCCCTCTGATAATCTAAATGAGTTTGAGGGGCTATGAGTGTTTGTTCCACCTGAAAGTCTGAGAAAAAAAATTATGCTTAAAAATATGAAAATCAGTAACTTGGATCCAAAGCATAGGTGTAACTTCATGTATGGACATATTGAATTCTCCCCAGAGATGGACCTTTTGGGAAGAGATATATGTATACAGGAATAATTTTTTTCCTTGCAAAGTATTCAGGGAAGGGAGATGGAAAAGACTGTCAACTGTCTCTTGTGATATTACCTGTGCTTTCCACTACCTCTTTACTTTCCCTTGTTTTCTCTCTCCCTCCTTCACTTACCACAAGCTTTCCAGTCTTTAATAATTGCACCATTGCATTGCAAAGCTAGTATATACCTATGCCTTTGAGAGGACCACTTACAGGAGACCTTAAATTTATGGTGCAGCAATCTAACAACTACCGGTCCTGGTTGATGGAGATGAGTATTGCAGAGAACCTGGCAAACCAGATTTGCAAGAGTAACTTGGGTTCTGCTCACCAACTACCCCTGACTTCTCATGAGAGATTTCCCATTTGCTATATGACTGGCACAGAAGTTTGACCTTTCCTTGGGTACATCAAACAGAATTTACGTCCTCCTGGGGCTTGCACTGGCTCAGGCAACTACAATATTTTCAGTTTTTCTCATTTCTGCTCTAGATCAGTCACAGACAAATCACTTACCAAGTTGCCAAGCTGGTTTGGAACTGGAGGTAGGAAACTAGACACTCAGCTTTTACATCAGTCTTTAAAAAAGTCCAAAGAATAATTTGATATATGTTTCGCTTCTAAAGTAAACAAACAGAAAAAGTGCTATTTCAGTTTTGTACAGATATGTATGCAGATCACTTAGTAGGGAGGGGAAAAGCAACTTTTCCTTGTGAGGATAAGTATTTTCAATAACTTAATTAATCACCTTTTGTAAATTAAAATATGACTGATTATTCAAAGATTAAACTCAATGTGACATAAATCATAATGATACAGTAAAAGAGATGAATATCTAAATATCAACATTACCATGGTGAGAACAGTATTTTCAGTACAGCTTTCTTTTGAGTAAGAATGGGGACTGTTTCTATAATGAGTTGAAAAAAGGAGAAAAAGAAACTTGTTCTTCCCCACTGAGTGAATTATTTAGTATTAGATAGAGTTTTGCACAGGATAATATGCTTAAAAGAGTGTACATGAGGATGGTGCATAAGAGACATTTTCTGGATCTTTTTCTGGAGCTGGTCTGGATGTTTAGAACCCCTGTTTCACATTTCAAAGAGACCACAGCTTCTAAGAGCCTAACTTATTTCTAAATGTCATATATAAATGCGTTTAGTATGTAAATACAATTACTTAATAATAATTTTCTCTTATCTGACACATATCCTGGTTTTGGAATGGAGGGAAAGCAGAAACTAAAAAGAGTCTCTGTTGTTACATGGGATGTATCAGTGACGACCTTTCTACTTAGGAAATGTACTCAGAGCAACAGCTTTTGTCAGTAGTTTATGAAATAGCCAAGCTATTAACTGGGAGGTGACACATCAGCTTTTTGATAGAGGAGAATTCATTTATATGGACCCTGGGAGGCTCCATATAAATGTTTGTTTATTTTATATACTATTGAACTGCTTTTCACAGAAAGTGGTCACAAGTATATTTGACAGATGTCCTATCACCATTTGTTTCTATTCTAACACAGTTCTTCGTCTTTGTCTTTCAGAGAGTCCCTCTTCCCATAATCACAGCCAAAACATCTGCATACTCTTTTAGTCAAGCAATTTTGCTTCTTATTAGGGAGTATAGAAAGCAAACTGCTACATTCTAGAAAGATTCTTCATGAAAAGGATAAATAATATATGCAGAAAGAGTGAGTCTTGGTTAAAAAGTAAGAAGAGTTTGAAAAATTCTGGACTTGGTGCTGGTAGTTTTCCATCTGATGATTCCTTCCAGAGCAGTGCATTGTACTTAGTGTTCCAAAGCTGGTGTCAGAATTCTGGTCTTGAGAAGTGAAGTATGTAGTAAGAAAGAAGAAACTGGTAAATGTTGAGGTA